TTTGAACCCAAAACTTATTTTCTTTAAAAACCCCCCCCCCCCCCCCCACAATATTTAAAGCCATTCAGCATTGCAGTATAATTGAGAGCTATCAATTTTAACATTTATGAAACCAAGATAAACTTAATTGGTTCGGATGGTGTCAAGCGTGTGTGGCAGCAACCAGGTGAGGAGTACAAAGACAAGTGTGTCTTGCCTACAGTCAAGCATGGTGGTGGGGGTGTCATGGTCTAGGGCTGCATGAGTGCTGCCGGCACTGGGGAGCTACAGTTCATTGAGGGAACCATGAATGCCAACATGTACTTTGACATACTGAAGCAGAACATGATCCCCTCCCTTCGGAGACTGGGCCGCAGGGCAGTATTCGAACGTGATGACGACCCCAAACACACCTCCAAGAAGACCACTGCCTAGGGCTGTCGCGATAACCGCAATATCACGCTATTGACGAGCAAACCGCAGAGGAACGCAAAAACCGCAGCAACCGCGATTTTTCCGTGTTTTCTTTTTTCGTAAGATTATGCCCTTCTCGTTTTACACTTCATGCATGTGGACTGAATATTAAACAAGTTAGTAATGATAACATAATGTGTACCATGCTGATTTGTACAGAGGCTCCGTAGATTTGCACTTAACAAGCCTAAACAGACAGTGAATGAGAGCGAGATCGACTGAGCACGTGCAATTACTTGCGTCTGTCCTCCAGGCCGAGTCATATATATTTGTGAAAATAGGTTGTCATGTTCAAGGAAAGCGAAATCTCTGTCTTTTGTAACGAATCAGCTCATGACAGGAAATATGAATAATTAACCATAACTAGTTATGATTAATTATGAATATTTTAGATCCGCTGTAGATATTTAGCTGACCTCTCAGGGTCAACTGTCTTGTCAATTCTAAGAACGTTAATTTCCTGGTTAAGGGAAATAACTTTCTTACTGTACAATTCTACAAAAGCTTGTAGCATAAATTATATATATATATATATATATATATAATTATTAGTTATAATGGTTATAATTTCTACATTTCTCAATTTATGTCTTATCTGCCTAATGAGCTATATTTAATATATATTTATGAATTTGTATTTCAGCTGATTAGAAATAATAGTGTTTGTTGATGTAATATGAATGAGTGGAGAGATTCAAGAGAATATTGCAGTATTGTCAGGTAAAATATTGCCACACTCTGAAGTCCCCCCCCCCCCCATATTGTGTGATATAAAATGAATCATACTGTGAAATGAGTTTGATCATATTGCCCACGTCTAACCCCTTATGTTCTGTTTGCGCAACCGAAATAAGAGCTGCAACGCAAAGCTTTCTGTTTTACCTTTCCCCCATTTTCTTTGAATCCTGCTCTTATTTCCGTCTCCGCTCTCTCTATCCATATGGCATTATCCATCCACCCTTGTGTTAATTGAGCTTTCATCCTGTATCTCCCTGACCGAGGCTGCATTGTCTGTGACCGGCATTCTGATCTGAAGAAGCATTTGAGTGCCACTTATCTCTGAGCCTGTGGAGTTGAGCTGCTCTCTTGTATATCTGAATGAGATTCTACTTTTATTGGAGGCTATGAGGAGAATTATTATGTTTCAGGGACCACATGGGCCCTTGTTGCATCCGGCTGGCCTTGAATATTAGTCGTCATATTAATTAGTCTCTAAAAAGGAGTAGAGTTGGCCAAGCACCGGTCATCTTTTTTTACTGTGCTTGGCGTAACCTGTGCAAGGCATTGTTAGAGTATAGAGCAGGGGTGTCAAACTCATTTTCACTGAGGGCCGCTTCAACGTTATCGCTGCCATCAAAGGGCCGGTTGTAACTTAAAGACAAATGTTACTACTCCTTAACATATTGTTAAATAACTGTCTCTTTATTTTATTATTACTTAATTAACTTACAAATATTGCATATGCATTTGCATAGATGTAAAAATGAAGAGTTTGGTTCCAAAATGCTATAAATCCATTTGGATTAATTTGAGTAAAAATGTGAAAGTGGCAAGATGAAAACCACTATTTTCTGTTTCAAACTTTCACATAGCATTTTAGGTTATTACATTTACATTTAGTCATGAAAGGATTGAATTTATTTCCTTATGAAATTAACTCTTCATGAAACCAATACTCAGGAACTCACACCAAACAGACACCATGCAATTGCGTCCGTGAGTTTACCGCAAACCCGGGGCGCGTATCTCTGAGCGGCATTGGGTCCCTGATGAACGAATAATTGAAAGTATGGGATTTACAGAATACTCAAATATCTAAATTAATAAACAATCGATATCTGTGATCAGCTTTTGATTAGAAATATTGCCTAAATTTAATGATCACGTGAAATTGGAGTCAGATTGAAAACGGAGCTAGACAAAATGGAAACTAAGTCCTGATAAATTCAGAAGCGCAAGTAAAAGACTGAATACGCATTAAACCTTCGACCAGGCCGCTGGATTCCGCTTTTTGGGCTGGCGGGTGGATCCTTACAGTCATTTAGCAGACGCTTTTATCCAAAGCGACTTACAAATGAGGACAATAAAAGCAGTCTAAACTAACAAAAGAGCAACAATATATAAGTGCAAATGACAAGTCTCGGTTAGCCTAACGCAGTACACGTAGCAAGGTGTATGTATATGTACACACACAAACAAAGAAAAACAAGTAGATAGAATAGAAAAAATAGAAAGCTAGTGTTTTTTTGTTTTTTTTTAATAAAGAACAAAAAATGAAAAGGATAAATATAAAGTAGATTTATAGTAGAATAGAAACATAACATTGATTTTCAAAGATTTATTAAAAAT